GAGGATGGCACAGTGCTGGGCAATGCTTTGTTTTGATGTTTGTTGGGTTGGTATGAGTTGGAACTGAGACAATGGCATCTAACAACAACAATTTCTGATTTTGAACTATTTGAATATGTATTTTATAATTCTTCTACTTGTATTGTAAAGGGAGTAATGGCTAATTGTGTAACATCCTGGTAACATTTGAGAATTTAGGTCAATGTCTTATGATATAATTTGACTGTAATTCATACGTGAGCTTTCCTTTTTCTACTTGTTTGACCTATATCTCATTATAATTTGTTCAAATACATGGCACTCTCCAAATTAGATACCCTTGTTAAGCTAATTGATGGAGCAACAATATCGTAGCATCAATATCTAGTTTTAAACTGCAGTGTTCATTTACATCTACCCTTGCCTTCAACATCACTGAGAGATTTCTAAATATAAAAGAGCACTTGAGATAATCCTACTGAATATTGTAAATATCAAACTGAAATATCTTAATTTTCACTAATATGTCCCTATGTTTACTTATGATTAGAGAACAAAACGTAACTACAATTCTCAAATGAGATATATTTTATTAAATTACTACAAAGTAAAATAAAGTAAAATCATATAAATAGAATTTCTTTAATAATAATTAACCTTTCAAATGTAACATTTTCCCCCTATAATCCTGATTTATTATAGTTCAGAAAGAAGTAGAGATTCCCTGTTAATCTGTATGATTATAAAAAAGCATGTTTAGAGTAGTCAATTTCCTGTAATTATATATAATTTCATAGTGTTCACATTTACATACATTCCTTTTTTTCTTCCTGGTGTCATCAATTGTGTCTGTGCTTATGTGTATAGTGTACTTGTTAACAGGGCCTTTTTTTTTTTTAGCACTACAATTCTATGATATCGTCTCAGAAACCCAAGGAGGGGTCACTATGAGTCGGGTCCAACTTGATGGCAAACAACAACAACAACAACTATTCTATGAGCTTCTTTTTTTATAAGGAAAAGGTTAAGAAATATATAGTGACTTAAGTTTTAAACAATATTACACAACTTACTTTGAGTTATATAAATATTTTTGTTGTTTTACTCTAAAAAAGAACAATAAAGTCTAAGACAGTAAAATTATATTATAGTCCCATCTGAGAATTTCTCTGAATTTTCTGGGTTAAAACAGAATATCCTATGATATTCAAATATTTAATATGAGTTAGTCAGAAAAATTTAAATTTGTCTAAAGATACTTGATCATTTATTTAATCAAGCAATGAATAACAAAAAAAAATTAACTTGAAGTGAGTAACACTTATATATATATATAAATATATAATTCATGAATTTTACTTTTACAAATCTATTCAAGTCTACTTTACAAAATAATATCAAATGTCCAACAGGCAGTAGTTGACACTTTGACCTTTATCCCACTGCACCAGGCCTCTGCCATTCATCCCTTACCAATGTACATGCATACAGTTTAAGTAAACTAAGTTGGTGAGCTGTGAAAGCACAGCTTTATCATCCATCCCTAAAGCATCATCATTCAGCTACCTACCACTTCTTACTGCAGCACAGATATTTTGAGCCAGATGTAGTAATGATAAAATGAAATTTAAAATTAGCAGTGCTCATCTAATTTTTTTAACAATTACATTAAATGATCTTTTGAAAGAATAAAAAATTAAACCAGTAATTAAAAACACATGGCATTTCTATATAAAACACATATGAGTATCCCCATGTTTCACAAAATTATTATTACCATAAATTAGTGTGCACAGAAAAATAAAAATAGTACATTACTTCAATAATTCTAGCACAGGTTTTCTGCTTTCTTCTAACCTATTTTTCTGCCTGTTCCCCAAATGATCCATAAACTACAAAACATTATTTGTTATTAAAGACAAGTTCTTATCATATCATGGTTTATTAGCTTTGCTTTTTCCTCCTAATTATTATATGTACTTTCAGGTATGATTTTCTTAAATTTTTTACTTATTTTCTATGCATTTTCCAGTTGATCATTTCTTTTCAAATTTATTTTCATGTATGATAATCTATTGAGAAATTTTCCTTAGATTTTTATCTAAATATTTTCATTTTTTAAAGTATTAATAATAATTAAAAAAAAAAAAAAGAAAGAAAAACTCATTGCTGTTGAATCGATTCTGACTCACAGCAACCCCTCCTTGGGTTTCTGAGGTGGTATCTCTACATCAGTAGATGGCCCAATCTTCCTTCTGAGAAATGGCTAGTGGGTTTGAACCACCAGCCTTCTGGTTAACAGTCAAATTCCTTAGGCCATACACCACCAGAGCTTCTATTAATAGCTGATAACAATTCAGAGTTAAATTTATACTAGCCTACATACATTCAGAGTACATGCAATTAAATAAAAAAGTTAATTCTAATCCTTCCATGAACTATTATTAAGAGAACTAGATGTAACATGTCACTTCCTAAATAGAACTTTTCCAGCTACTGTTATCTGTCTTAATTCTTTCTTCTGACTAATCAGCTGCATCAGTTTTATCATCAAAGCAGTCAATGTTCCATCACTGAAATCAATGTGACTTTCACATTTTGTTGTTACTATGCCTAATAATTTTTCACCAATTATTTAGCACTTTCTATAGCAGATTACTTTGTAATAATTAGTATTTTTGAGTGAGGGCTGATCACAAAATCAAAACAATGTGCAATTAGAATGTAATCAAGGGAGTTGAAATAAGAACTTCATAAGAGAAAAAGTTACGATTTAAAGTTTAATATTCTGTTCTTTTTTAAAAAAAAGCACATTTCCCCCATAAATATAAGGCTATGGCTTACTATTAGGCACTTATGAGTCGGGGCTGACTCGATGGCAAACAACAACAACAACAAATCATTGTATGCAATGAAATAGACAGTCAAAATTCTCATATTTGATTTTTTTTTTTCCCTTTAACCCTGGAATCACACCTACAAGGTCACGAGGAGGCAACCTCTGAGAGAGTCAAACTGCATCTTCTGTGTCAGCCCAGCTTTAATATGTTGCCATAGCCAGACCATGAAGACAAGTTTGAGGCCATTACTGTTGCCAGGCCTCTTTTCTAGTGATACCTTTAGGTAATGGCCAGACATTGTCTCTCCTAATTTGGTCATTTTGTCAGAAGGGAACATTCCCTGGAGAAGACATTCCCTGTTTGGTAAAGTAGAGGGTCAGCAAAAAAAGAGAAGAACATCCATTAGAATGATTGATATGATACAGTAGCTGTGATGATGAGCTCAAGCATAGCAAGGGTTGTGAGGATGGTGCAAGAACAAGCAGTGTTATGTTCTGCTATACCTTTGGTTGTTATGAGTTGGAGCTGACTCTAAGTCATGTAACAACAACCCCTTAGGTAAAACTTGGCATCTCCATACCTTTTCAGGCACAAACTAAAAATGCACCTGCCTCCATTCATATTACAGTAAGATAGAATTTCATACATATTCAATAGTCAAAAACCAAGAGGACCGGAGACACTCTTGGCCACTGAGAAAGAAGACCTAAATTGCATAGCCTTGAAAGAATATTTGGCATCATGTGGTAAAGTTGATCAGGTACTTATCCATGCCCCATCAATTCCACTGCCAGAGAAGCTCTTCAACAGACATGCAAGGAAATATTTACTTGCTCATTCATAAAACACTGTTGCTAATAGCCACAATTGGGACAAGTCAATCATTGTTAATGTCTAACAATCAATGTACTTTTAAGATAGGAATGTTTGCCACAATTGTTTCTTACATTTCAAAGCAAAATCTGTACAAACAGACTTGGATCTGGAAGATCATTTATGTAAGAATATTAAAAGTTAACCAAATGACAGGAGAGATATAAACTAACACCAAATTATTCATATTTTGGACCTCTGGATTTTACCTAGGGCTTCTGAAATGCCTCAACATGGAATGCAGTGAAGAATCTAAAACATTTTTGAACATAGAGGAGTATTAAGAATAAGACATCTATCATATCTAGTAATTTTTTTTCTAGAACAGAATAATCCACAATAATAGCTACATCAATTCTCAGTGAAGTGAAGTTTATGGTTTTGCATATTTTGTTAGACAATATTTCCCCTAGAAATAGCAAGGAGAAAGGATTGGTTAGGTTATTAAAGAATGTTGTTGTTATGTGCCATCAAGTCAGACTCGACTCATAGCAACCCCTCCTTGGGTTTCTGAGGCAGTATCACTACAGAAGTAGATTGACCAAACTTCCTTCCAAGGAGGGGCCAGTGGGTTTGAACTGCCAGCCTTCTGGTTAGCAGTCAAGTGCCTTAGGCACTATGCTACCAGAGCTCCTATTAAATAATAGGACAACAATAAGATAGTATCAATAAAGAAATACAGGAAGGAAGAAAAGAGTAAACCCTGAAGTATGAAGGTAGAGGAAAAAGTAGGAAATACTTATATTCCAAATCATATAGATATGGCTCTGTGGTGAGGGTGGTTGGGTCCCGTAATGATTTCTGACACTTATTATGATAACAACATAACAACAAATTATGATAGCATAGTCCCAGGTAAGATCCTCAGTCTCTTTGCTTCATTCTGTCACTCGTACATTCCTATTCCTCTTAGCATTTGTAGATGTCATTCCAAGATCTCTAAAGGCACATTAATAATCCTCCTTTCAAATTGAGTACAATTTTAGTCCAGAATGCTTGTACTTAAATATATTTAGCCATTGAATTATAAATGCCTATTTTGATTTGCTTAACTAACATAGATGCTCATGATGTGTATGGATTGAAGCCTGTATGAAAAAGTATTCTTAAACTGATAGATTGGGTTTGAGCTCTCAGAATGAAGAGGTTTTTCTCTCAAGAAGTATTTCCCAATTGCTTTTATGACTGGGGAGAAGTGCTTATTCTTAGAATAACACCAAGCATATGATGAAAAGTTACATATATGCTAAAGAATTTTACAAAGGTTGAGAAGCTCTTTGACCAGTTAGTCCTTGGATCATTACTTACATTGTGCTTTGTGAGATTTGAAATATTCGTTGCTATTGCTTGTAGCCAGTCAACACAGTCTTCAGCAGAGAGGCACTGAATGATCCCACTGCACACTCCGTCCACAGCAGTGACTTGGAAAGCATTCTGCCTGCAGATATGTCATAGCAAAAGGTCAAAGCAAATGAGATCAGAACTTCACCTCATTCATTTATTTGTAACTTAACAATGTCTGTCAAAAACTTCTCTTTTTAGACAGAGTATCGGATTCCAGATTCAAGTTTGATTACTACTTTTAACCAATATCTCTTTTTTAAAATGGAAGAGTAAAGATAAATCCAGGTAATATATATCTTTAAATTATTAAAAATTTTCCTGAGATTAAGATAAGTATGGTGAAACTTTGGCATGTAAAAAGTGCGATATGTAAATAAAAGAATATCTGAGCCATTTTAGAAACATTCATTTCTGAGTTTACCATAAAATTATACATAGTATTCTATTATTTTGGCTATCATAATCTCTGCTTGTGATTTGTCAGAATATTTTCTGACATGGAAAGATCGCTAAAAACAAAACAAAACAGATATTAAACACCTTACAAAAACCACTTACTTGTCATCAGCTACTGTGTCTCATCAGTTGTTAAACAACTTTCAGCCTTGTTTTATTCATTTTCTCAAAGTTTGTGAAAAGATGTTCATATCACTCTTTTAAGCCTAAATTTTCATGTTTCAAATTTATGTGAATAATGTAAATTTCAATAACAACCAAATATTCTCTTAAAGTGCAATGAAAATTCTAAATATTCTTTATTGTCTTTTACTGACCTTTTTTTTCCTTGGTGAAAATTAAATGGCATCATTCTATACAGAAGTGCTATAGAATTTAAAGTGAAGCCTACTAACAGTTTCAATGTTTGTTTTCTGCATCAAACAATTGCAATGTTTAGATAGTATAATGTAAAGGATTAATGGACAACAGTAAATAATATTCCAAAATGAATTAAAGTTAGATAAATATTTCATACCTGGAAATCACCATTATACAACAATCAAATTTAGAAAATACACAAACTATATTCAAATTTCAATCAATTATGAGGCAATAGAAAACTTCTGAGTTCAGTATACTATGTAAATTGCATAAATTTATATATTTTCTTCCAAATACACTTTTCTGGCTTGTTTTGTAGCTATTTTTTTGTGGATATTAGACATGATTTCATTCTTCCCAACACCCAAACAAGAAGCCCACAGAATATCCCTCTGGCTCAGATCCATCCTTAACCATTCAGTCATCCTCCCTTCCTTTACAATTAGCACACATTTCCTATCTGGACACAGAGTAAAAGCTTGGAATGCAGCATCCCAAGTTAATCCATGTTAGTATTTTTGAGAAATTGCCTTTCATATCCCTAACACACATTTTCTATGTTAACAGTTTTGCCTTTTCCAGAATATCATGCAGTTGGAATCATATATATATGTATACTTTAATGTGTTCAGATGGTTTATTGTTTCACTTTAAAATACATTAAAGGCTTTTGAGAAATATGATTTTGTTCTCTTTGAAACCAAACTCTTTTGAATTTTGAAGAAAATAATATGCATAGCCAGAAGAGAATATTATAACTTTACATGATTTCTTAGCTTCAAATCTCATGTTCAACAGTGTGTAAGACATTTAAAATATCCAGAGAGAAGTTCAAACATCATGGAAAATGAGAACTAATTTGAGTTTAGCAATATAACATTTCTTTCAGCTTTCTAAATATCACAGACATTGCTTCATGTAGCATGAATTAAATCATGTCCTGAGCTTACTTGTCCTCTGTGCATTAAATGAATACTGACAGCTTGATATTTTGAACTGATTAATGTTGATACACTCAGATCAACTGTAGCGATCCATGTAATAACATATAGAAGCCATAGAGAGAATAATTTTTTTTTTTTTTGAGGGACTAGTTCCTGGGTAGTGCAAATGGGTAATACACTCAACTGCTAACCAAATGTTTGGAGGTTTGAGGCAGTTCTACAGAATGGCCTGGCCACCTACTTCCAAAAATATCAGCCAATGAAAACCCTGTGGAGCACAGTTCTACTGTGGAGTGGAGTGGAGTCTCTATGAATGGGAATCAACTCTACAACTAGTTGTTTTTTTAAAAAAAAAAATCCTTTACAACATAGGTTTATAGGTTAATATGTACCATGTTTTGTCTTTTCTGTTTCAATTTTTCAAATTTGTATACTTTTTGTGAATATATGTGAAGTACTTAGACAGTTTCTACAGTTATGTATAATCTCTTTTAAAATAGGTTGATCATAAAGACAACTATCTGGGTTATATTTCAGCCTCTACTGCATATAGCTTCTATTCCCATTAAAACAGAATATTGGAAAATGATCCCATTTAGTTAAGTTTCAGTTTTTCCTAGAGGCAAATGAGAATAATACACTTTTTTTTTTTCATTGAGTTGACTTAATAAGTATTTGTTGAGTAAATAGTGGCATCCAAACACTTTCATATATCACTGAAGCATAAGAATAATTTTCCAAATAATCCACTGATATGTGTTCCTAACAACAATATTTTAGTTTGGTTAGTGAGAATGTCTCCACATAGTCTTGTTTCACTGAACACCTATGAAGAAGAGCAGAACTTTTATTCTTGTTTTTATCTTTTGTAAAATGTAATTATTTGACCCAAGATATACAGTAATAGTCAATCATCTTTATTTTGTCTTATTTGATGGAATTCTTTCTGCAGTCAATGGACTCTATTTTCCCTTTATTTAACATTGTGAAACATTAAAGTTTAGCAAAGTTCACAGTACACTTTAAGATATCCAGATGGAATATCTGTACAGAGAAGGAATAAAAGAAAGAAAGGATCAATGAAAAGACATGCAGAAATATGGAATACATATTTCTAAGTAAAATAAGCCAGTCTGAAAATGTTACATACTATATGATTCCAACTACATGATGTTTTGGAAAAGGCAGAACTATATAGGAATGATAAAGATCAGTTGCTTCCAGGGATTCAAGGCAAGGGAAGAGGGATGAATGGGTGGAGCACATGCCATTTTTAGAGCAGTGAAACTATATTGTATGCTACTGTAATAGCGGGTACATGATATTTTGGATTTGTCAAAACCCATAGGATGCTAAACATAAATTGCAAACGACCATATGTAAACTATGGACTTTATTAATAATGTGTCGATATTGATTCATCAACTGTAATCAACAAAGCATAAGGATGCAACATTTTAACAACAGTAGAAAATATTCCAGGAGTTAGGGACATTTTGGAATTCTTGGAAGTATCTGCACAATTTTTTAGTAAACCAAAAACTGCTCTAAAATATAAAGTCCTTATTAAAAAGTATATTCATAAAAAAAATTCAAATTTGAGAAGATTAACTCAGATGCCACCTCTTTCATGATAGATAGTTGGAATTAATCTCCCCACTTGACTTCTCCCACACTTTCTCGCCCCTTTATACTTGCTCTGCCTGAGTGTGTAGTACACTTACTACACACATTCATTCTTAGTATATGTCTAGTTCCTTGGAGGAGAGTGTGTGCTACTTTCCACTATTCATAACTAAAATCCATCTTCATTTCAATTTACTAATCCACTGTTTTTACTAACTTGAGATCTGATTGTTATTCAAGCAAATCTTACTGTCAGACACTAATTCTGACATTTCTCCTCTTTGACTATAACATTTTTCTTTTCTTTACCAACAGATAAACTTAATTCTTTCTCATCTCTTTAACTCTTCCAGTCATCTAAGTCTATAAATATATTTTGAATATATCTTCCTTCTTCCCTGTATTTGGCTCCTTGTTTATATATAGTAATAATATATTTGTCCCCATCCTAAAATTTCTTGTCACCTTGACCAATAGCTGTTCTATGTTGTTAATTTCCAGCCTTGAATAACTTTAATTTAATAAAATATTTAACCTATTCTTCCAAATGTGCCAAGATTTTTTGGCAAAGTAAGACATTTGTAAACACTTCCCTAAAAAATTGGTCTTTGAGTGTCCAGAGACCTCAGTTAATTTTGTTTATTTTAATATCTTCCTACCCTCATAGGAGTCATCATTACATACTGCAGATCACCACCCTGAACAGCAGTCATATTTTCTTCTCTTGTTCACTGGATAATCCCATTTCATAGCAGCTCACACATAAAGAATTGGTCCCTCAGAAATTCCTGAATTCTGTCTATCTCTGATTAAATTTATTTCAGATCAGATACTGATATCTTAATTAGAGTCATCACTATGCATTAAAAATTAATGTCATGTCACTAGTAAAAATACTGTGATGTTTAAATTCATATATATGACAATAACACAGCTTTATTAAAATTATGCATGAGAGGTATTATAGCATTGAAATTAAAACCATTGGTCTTGGCAAAAAGACCAAATAAACAAATAAAATATTAAATTTTTAACCACGTTAAAAAATTTACACATTTTTTCCTCTTGGATCTGTTATTTATACTACCTAAACTCCAACTTCCTTGTGTTTGAAAAAGAGATAGTTATATAACCCACTATAATTCTTAGTCACTACATAAGATGTATGTAAAAAACTATGATAAATAGAATGTTTTCAATGACAGTATCTATTACTAGTAGTAGTAGTAGTAATAATATGAAAAAGAGAAAAAGAAACAGACATAAAGTAGATTCTGGATTATAGTGACACATGGGTGTCCATGATTTGGAATCAACTGGACAGAAATTGATTTTTGTTCTCCATAGAGTTTTCAATGGCTGTGATATTTTAGAAATAAATTGCCAAGTCTTTCTTCCAAGGGGATTCAAACTACCATCTTTTTATTTAGTAGCTGAGTGCTTAACTATTTGTGCCACCCTGGGACTCCAATAGCAATAATAGTAGCACCAAAATACACATTAAAAAATAAAACAAAAACAAAACCCTCAGGCAAAAATTATACATGGAATCAAATTCACAAAAATAGATTATAAACATTTTTTTCTACTGGAATTAAGACTTTACAACTAATTCTAACTCTTTATTGGTGAAAGTTTTAAACATGTTGATCACACATTTATTTCACAGCTTTTTTGCTAGTACTAGGCTTTTATCATGATTCTT